ACTACTACTCCTCCTCTACTCCTCCTCCTTCTCCAGCACTACGGTCGTCACTCCTGCTACAACGGCCCACAACGACGACGACAGTGATGGCGATGGCGAGTGTGATCACGGCGACGACACCGACGACCGAGGCAACGATGCTTGGAATATCCCGGGTACTGCTGTCCTCCTGATACGTGTTGTTACTCTTTCAAAGTGGGCCCCAGACGCTTCTACGGCACTAGATCCTAGACGCTAGGAGGGCGCCCGAACCTGCCCAAGAATCCCTTCCACAGTCTTGGCGCCCCACCCCACGCTTGACCAAAGGCCGTCTGCCTGCAGAGCCGAAACAGGCCCGGGTGCTTGGCTTGGTCCAGCCATACCGGAAGTGCTGGAGCCCAAGGTTTACGGTTGAAAGGTTTAGGGTTTAGGGTTTAAGGTTTAGGGTTTCGGATTTAGGGTTTTGGGTTTAAGGTTTCGTGTTCAGGGTTTAAGGTCGCAGCTTCCGGACCCAACCAGGTGCTGAGATGACTACTGCGCATCGCTACTGACATCACTCACCCATGGCAACAATCCTGCGGCGACTGTTGCTAGTGCTACCGTCTCCACCGCTCCACTGCGAGTCTATGATCCCTCTTTTTGCGGGTGTTTGCCAGTGCCCGCTACGCGTGTCATTGTCATGCAAGTGAGGATGTAGGGTTTAGGGCGGTGGGGCTATTTGCAGGCTTTGTGAGACTCGTATTGGTTTTGATGAGATTTTGTGGAGCTTTGCAGATGTGCGACAAGGACTTGGGGGCTATGAAAAAGGATCATTTTTAATCCTTATTCGGGTTTTATTATAACAAAAACTTAAAATTTGTATCCAACCAGGACCCAGTAGCCCCTAAACCCTAAACCTTAATTAAACCCTAAACCCTAAACCCTCAACACCAGCTCCGGGCTGAGGAGCCCCACTCTGCGTTTCGGTACCAGGACCAGCCGAAGCCCACGGGCACGATGAGCGTCACGGCCCAGATGCCCATGCGCATGTTCTGGCGTAGTGGCTTGGAAGCGAGGGGCTTTCGGATTCTCAGGCTTTTGGGGCGGGGTTCTCGCGACTGCAGTGACCAGAATCAAGCGAATCTCGGAGCCCCGATACCTGGGCCTTTTCCTCATAGCTAGCCCCCTTTTTTTCAGTAAACCCAGAACCCAACGCCCCGCACGCGAAGCCCCGAAGCTCTCATCTCTGAAGCCTACATGTATACCTCAAATCCCTGACCCTAACCTTAAAATCTGAACTAAACAGCACTAAAACCTACAAAAGCCGCAAGAACATCAAAACACTTCCAAATTCCCGAGCCCATCCCGGGCGCACCCGCTGCCACCGCGCGAGCCGCTCAGCCTCGGGCGTCGGCGTTTTGGGGTTTTCGGATATTTTGTAGGCTTTGGGGTTCCGGGTTTCAGGTGTCCGGCTTTGCAGGGTTTAGGGTTTAGGGTTTAGGGTTTAGATTAGGATTCAGCAGTAGGGTTTTGAGGGTTCAGTAGTAGGCTTCGAATGAGCTTCACCAAACTTCTATGAGGATCTAACCTATGACCCAAGAATTCGGAAAGCCAGGATCCTCACACAAAGACCTCTGGAAAGCAAAGGCTTCCGAAACCCCCCAGACTCTAAACCCGAAACCTCTACGCCCGTAAAGAGCTTAGCGCCGGCCTCAAGCTCCGGGATCAATCACAGCACGCAAAGCCCTCGACTCAGGGGCGAAGATCCGACAAGCGATGCCTCAAGACGTAGATGCGGACAAAAACGACCCTGTAAAGGGGGATTGGCATGGATTCTAGGGCCCCAAAAAGCCAGGTCCCCGGAGCACCCCAGAAGGGCAAGGAGGCCCCCACACGCTTTAGTCGAAGCTGGTGCTCCACCGTTCTCTCGTGGCCTTGGGAGGGTTTGGGGCTTCAAGAGTCATGGTGGCTCAAGCAACAATGCTGACAATCTTTAGTTACATGAATTCACTAATTGCAACGACAAATGATATGCAATAGAAGAACTAAAGACATGACTTCGTGAACAATACACTGGATTAGAAGAGTGCGATCGACTATTCCTGCGAGCATCCTTTCTCCGACTCTGGGAAGCGGACCTGCGCCGAACCTCAGCCACAAAGCTGCGGTGCAGCGCGTTGGGGAGACCAGAAATGCCAACAGTGCCAACAATCATCGTAACATTAATGATGGTAGTCTTGACACGGGGGTAGTATTGTGTTGATTTGCCGCTTTGCTTGATCGGGATATTTGAAGGAGAGTTTCAGATATTCAGTCGGCATGGCTTTCGGGGGGACACGGTTTCACAGGCACCACGAGCTATCGCATCTCTGGCTTCGGACAGTAATTCCTGTACTAAAGCGCAAGAATGAGCGCTCGGTGCTCTCGCAACCATTACACTCCAACAGCCCTGAAGTAAGAACGATTCCCGAAGTTGGAAAAGTGCTCCTTTATTAGCAAAGCATCCTCAATACAGGCAGTTTGGACATTTTCGCAATCTGATCTTGCGGACGAGGCCGTCTTGGTGTGCGAGCTCCCTCCAGCACTACTGGCAGCCACCTCTCCCCAGCCAAGACCTGTGGCGCAAACTTAAAGTCCCAGTTTCCCCTACTGGATCTCTGCCCATGACATGACCGTGAGACGATATTATAAGAGACGCCAGTGTGCTCCGAAGCAGCTGCCATGCTTGTGAACTCGGTCCATGCTTCATGGCCCATGCTGCGTGCCAGAACTGGCCTGCACGTGCGCCTCGTTTGCGTTCTGCAGCGCTGTGCATGCAGCTGGTTTTCAGACGGTGTAACATATTCAAGATTTTCCAGGCAGTTGTTGCCACGGTCGTTGTCCTTGTGGTTCACCAGTAAGTTTGGCGAGTCGGGCTGCCCGAGAAAAGTGGCGGCTACTAAACGATGAACAAGTAATATTACCCGTTGCCGATGAACGCAGAGGTAACCATCGGCGCTTCGTGTCCCATAGCTCAGAGATCTATGTCTAGCACTCTTGGAAAAGACTCGCCCGAAAGTGCTCACCATGAGATCTTCGGCACGCCAAACTTCACCAGGGTATGCGGCATGCTGCCAGATCTCACCAGCAAGAGCTGGTGGTGCTGCCATGGCTGCGCATTTGATCTCGTAGATTGTTCCGTTCGGGTCAGATAACTGTGCCAAAGGACCACGGCAGCACCTGGATATTTGACGCCAGTGCACGCCAAGCAGTCTGGCTGCGTCTGCCTGGGATGAGCAACTACTCCACCTCTCTTCCCCTTGCTTCCGCCAAAGCACAGCCTTCCCAGGCTTGACCACACGACGTGGGTTGAGTGCCAAGGAGTGCCGGATATTTTCAGATGGCGTTACATAGGTCAAATTTTCTACACGGTTGTTGCACTTGTCGCCATCGATGTGGTTCACTTGCCAGATGCCTTCTGAGGGGGGGGGACCAAGAAATGCCGCTGCTACCAGTCGACGTACACAGAACATCTCGCGAGAAATGCGAACCTGTCGATAGGCTCCCGACAAGAACCCGTAGCTCACACATTCCTGCGAAGATTTTACCCGACCATAGGAGCTGACCTGCCATGCAGTGGCCTTGTGGCGTGCTTGCACGCGACAACAAAAGCTGGTCTGCAGCCATTGACGAACGGCCAAAAGCATGTTGACACGTCCTCTGCCTGTGCCAAAACGGCGGCATGGGCAGATTCAGGCTTGGCCTTAACATAACGCTGAATGTCCGTTGCAGCTTTGCGACGCTTCTGGCCACCCCCAAACCGTAAACATCCTTTGCACAACATGAACTGACACTGCGGAGTATCCAAAGAGTGCGAAAACCGCTGCGGTGGTTTCGGGCTTGCCTGCCCATAAGAGGTTGGGTTATGTCCTGAGTTCCTGTGCACACATATCTAAGCTTTGCGCCACTCATCCAATTTGAAGGGACTGTGCTGCAATAGCAAAGTTACACTGCAAGAAGGACTCAGCAAGTCTCAACGAAGAACAAGTGCCCTAGTCACGGTAGACCCTAAACCCGAAACTGCACCCTTCACTGCCCTTTCTAACCCTCTTCTTGGCCCACGGCATTGGCGTCGCAAGCTCTAGGACCTTCCATGGACTCAGAACTGGAGTTGGGTTTTAGGGTATACTATGCTGCAACCATATTTAGAGGTTCATGGGCAGTTATGAACGGGCTATAAAAGGATACTGTTGCCAATTTTTCGGACCTCTGTCAGAACCCGCCCCCCCCCCCCCCATATTGGGTACTCAAAAAGGGACCCCAATTTAGACAACTGCCCACATCCAAAGAGCGCAGGCTGGGCATCCGAAACTACCCCGTAGACTGAGCAGAAGCCTCGACGCGGCTAAGGCTCCCATATCAAAAGGATCCTCAGAGCAAGGACGCCAAAACGGGGACCCTGATTCTCAGAAACTGAAGCCAAGAAAAGCCGGTCGCCTGCGTCCACGCCTGGCTGGCTTCGGTCCAGCGCCTGGTTTCAGGGTAATTTGGATGGTCTTCGAAGGGTTTGGGCTACCCCTAAACCCCTAAACCCCAAAGGGGACCCGGAGATGATCTTGGGGCTTGGGAACGTTGAGAGTTCAGGCCAGGCGCTACGGGCCTGAGGTGTCTCAGGGCTCAGTTTCGGAAGCACTGGCTCCTCAAATCGAAGCTTCGGGATTCTATGATAGCATACGGCTATATTGGACTGGGCTTCGGGGATCGGGCTGGATTTGGAACTGTGGTTCTCGAAATTTCGGGTTGAGGGATAACTCAACCTCATACCTCAACCTGTGGCACCCCAGAGCTCGTTTCGTGCAAGCCCCAAGGCGCCTCTCCACTTCTTTTTGCAGGGGAGGATCTGAACCGGAAACACCCCAAGACCTCGAACCTACAGCCTACTCACCCCGAAACCAGAAAGCCCACCGCCCTCGATTCTCGAAGGCTGTCATATGTAGGCACAGGCACTTTTGCCGCTCCAGGTTGTCTGCGAGACCTCGTAGCTGTGGGCTTTACCCTCAATGCTCGTCAAGCTATCAAACAACCGGTTTTTGCGAATACTAGGACAGTCATTGAAATTGTGCAGGATTCAGGCTTTTAATTGCTCAAGGGGAAACGCTACGAGTCTGATAAAGCCCACAACAACGAAAAAGCTCATTACCCAACCAATGTCTGGCAAAATCAATGCAACACAACCTAAGACGCCTGCGGTGTTAATTTTGACCTGTTTTTAGGCTGTTCGGGCTTCAGGTTGGGGCTTAGGGTTTCGGCGACAGCACTTCAAGCTATACTATACCGGCTATACATATTTCTGTGCCCCGTAGAATTGCCAACTGGCCTTTTCAAGCCCTGTCTCACTGCCGTAATCCCAAACCTGAAACCCTATGGGCTTCTCTGCTCATGACAGAAAGAAGCAGTGCATCCCTTTGGTCTCTCTTGTGGGACCCTGCTGAAAGAGCATCCCAAATCGCGTCGGAACCCACCCTCGAGCTCAGCAGGCTGAGGTGCAGGCCGACGAAGCCACGGTAGGTCTCAGGGATGCCTTTCTCTTCCTGAAGGTTTCGGGTTTAGGATTTAGGGTTTCAGGTTTGGGGCTGTTGGTTTTAGGTTCCTAAGTTCAGGGCTCAAGGTTTCAGGGTTTAGAGAGCTTGAAACTAAGGATTTTCGTGGGTGAGACTCCCCGACTCATGAGCCACTCTGCTCCTCTACTTACTCCTCAACCCCGAAACTCGAACCCTAAACCCCGAGCCCGCATTGCACGTGCGAGAAGCTCCAAACTTGTCAGGGATTCGCAGATTTAGTCAGTACTCTTTGAAAAGTCAGGTCACCACATAACCTCGTCTCATGCACTTGTAGTGCTCTTCTAACTCGCCACGACCCTTCAAGTGCTCTATTGTTGTAGAAAAGGATCCTGGAGAAGGATGGTTCCAGCCCGAAGACCTTAAGACATATGGATTCAGGGTTCATGGTTTGAGTCCCCTGCAGCATCGGCAAGGGGCTGGGGCATTGGCAAGAAGCTCTTGGTGCATTACACAATACTTTTCTAGCTGCGCATTAGGAACATCCCGATACATAGCAAACAAAACCTTTTGACGGCAGGAATCTGCACGTCATCAACAAACTTGAAATCCCAGCCAACACCAGGGACAAGTCCCCTGCAAATGCGATCGATTTTGGCCCAGTGGATACCTGTATGTCGCTCTGCAGCAGCCATTGAGTCAAAGTCCAGCCAAGGGCCCGTAGACGAGGCGCAGGCAATCGAGCGGGCTTGAACGGCCTTGCCAGCTCGGCTGCGCGCATTTCCAGCCCTCCTTTGCCAAGAATGTGTGATGTTCTCTGAGCATGAGACATATTCCAAGTTTTGCATGTGGTTGTTCCCTCTATCAAAGTCTTTGTGGTTGACCTGGATATCTGCAGTGTCTGGCTGACCAAGAAAGGTCGCAGCCACCGCACGGTGTACAAGCCACGTCTTCCCAGTCCTGCAGACAGTAAAATAACCACATTTCGTACGGAACCCACGACTGACAGTGTCCGAAAGAGATCCGACCTGCGAAACCCTGCCATGGCTGCTTACCATCAGGTTTGGAACAACGCCCGACAATCCTGGGTAACGGGAAGGCAGCCAGATTTCACCCGGGAGGAAGCTGTGTTCGGCCACAGGGGCCGATTTGAACTCGTACCAAATCCCATGTCCACACGACTTCCGGGCGAAGCCACGACAACACCTTGACACGGCGTTCGCTGAAAGCCCAAGCGACCTTGCAGCTTCAATCTGCGAGGCAGAGAATGTCCAAGCCTGCATGCCAAAAGGGCGCCAGAGGACGGCCTTGCTCAGCTTGGCATTCCCTTGCTGTCGATTCGGGTTGTTTGCCCACGAATGCCTCTGATTCTCGGCTGGAGTTACATATTGCAGATTTGCCACAAAGTTGTTTGCCGGATTGCCGTCTATGTGGTTCACCTGCCAACACGTCGGATCCGGTGGCGGACCCAGAAATGCGGTGGCCACTAGCCGATGCACGTAGTAGTCTTGGCCATCAAACCTCGCCTTGAGGTACCCTGAGTCGTTCGCCTGCCCAAAGTGAACTTTGCCGGTGGCAGTCGAGACACGGCCGTGAGAGCTTACCTGACACCCGCTCGATGCACATCGCAAATCCAGCACACCCCAGAGTCGAAGTCGCGACTTCGCAGCGTAAAACATTGGCTTGTACATACCTGAGACTGCAGGCAGGCATCTTTAAATGCCAAAGACGGCACTCATGGATGTGAGGTTGTGCAACGGAGCTGCGATCGCTGTGTTAGTCTGTGTTTTGGCCCCAAAGGGCCTACGACGAACAACAGAGGTTCCCAAACTCCAGCATCTCCTCCCCTCAAGCCTGACACGTGAACCATGACTACCTTGACTACCTAACCACAAACAGACAGACCAGAAGTCCTGAAACTCTGAAGCAACAAGGCTCGAGACTCTAGGCTGACGCATGCTAGGGTGCAGACCTTAACAAGGGCAGTTCAACGGCACCCTTCTTAGTCGCAGAGGTCTGTTTGTATAATCTTTCGGGCCCCGATGCGACTTCGAAGGCAGTGACGGGTTCTGGCTTCTGAAAACTTGCTTTCAGGTGCGAATCTACCTTCCAAAGAGCTTCTCCAAGGGATTTGCGGCACATGGGTAAGTAAGAATCTGGGATGGGTTCGGGAGATTCCCCAAGCCAGATAATCGTGACCTAAACTTGCCCACACCCTAAACCCTAAATCCAAAAAACCCTAAACTCCTAAACCCTGAAGCCTAAGCCCTTGCTCTGGACGGGGCTGCCGATCTTACACCTGCTCGGGGTCTTCATATGTGGGAAGAAGCTCCAGACGCAAGGGGTGCCAAACTCCGAGTGAGTTCCGTGGAAGCGCTACGGCGAAACAATCGAAACACGCACAAAGCACATTACTTACTACATATCCCTGCTATGGTTAAGTACAAGCTTTAGACTTGCCACAACAGGGATATGTAGTAAGTAATATGCTGTGGGCCCAGGGAGTTGCTGGGCTCACGGATTTCGGCATCCTTGTGAGCCCTTAGATTGGGTTTAGGGTTTAGGGGTTCAGGATTCAGGGTTTAGGGTTCAGGGTTTTAGGGTTTAGGGATTTAGGGTTTAGGGTTTTAGGGTTTAGGGTTTAGGGGTTTAGGGCACTGATGGATTGGAGTTTGAGGTGTTGGGGCCAGGGTTTCGCGAAGTCTTGGGCAGATGGTTCGTGGTTTCAGTGGGCTGAAGCCTACACTGTTTAGGGTTTAAGGCTTAGGGTTTAGGGTTTAGGGCTTTGCGTTTAAGG